AACGTGAGAGCCGGGTTTGATCGGAGGAATCAGAATCAGAGAGAGTGAGTAAGAGAGAGATTAGAAAGAGAAGTAGTTCTTGTAGAGAGAGAATGGTGAAAAATGCGATCCCCTCACCCACCGTAGTAAATGCCATATTTATAGGCTTCATGGTGGTGGGTGAGTGGTTGACATAGGGAGAGATACAGTGATGTGACTACTGGGATACAATGATGTGACCACTAGCATACTAAGGCTTTTAGGCCATCCCTCTACCTAGGATGAGTCAGAGATCCACTCATGGCCCTGATGTGACTACCCGCTTGGAAGAGGTGCGCTTCCCTCATCTTCTGGTTCAGCCTACGCTAGTCCTCCCCTAGCGCCTGTCATCTCTTCGCGCCTGGACGTGGTTAGCCACGATGAGGCGGCACACTCGGGGTCCTCGCGCTGTCGTGTTGGGGTCTCATCCAGTTGCGCCCGGCTCCTTGGCGTGGTTAGGCCCGAGTCCTATGCCCAACAAAAGTCATATAACAAAAAGATTGTAATAAGTCTCAACATAAAGCCATGCATGATCATTATGATTGTGATGTACTTGTTAAATCTTAATTTCACTTAATTGGCTACAATAGTGATTTGTTATAGGGAGTCGTCATAGACATTTTGGTTAATTGGGTAACAGAAAAAAGTCAATTATCGAAGGGAAACTATGCACAATATGTACATCCCAGCTGAATGGATGGAAAATGTACAAGAAGATGGACTGATGAGTATACCGTTACTAGAGAAATTGATAGGTTGACGGTATATGACTTACAAAATGGATAATTTTATTTTGTCAAAAAATAACTACGTACTCCCCATTACTAGGATGTAACAAATCAAGAATTATGTGAAATAATTTAAAACGACCATCTTAGGGTCGCAGTCTTGACGTTTGCACTAGAAAGCTGTTATGTTTGTAGTAAAAACTGAAGATTCCATAAAAAAAACAAGTGTGAATAAATTAATTACTACGACTGTATCAATAACAAAATAAGTAATTAGCTTCCACACAAAATAAGATTCAACGATAGAACAACAACAAAAAAAAAGGACGTTTGTTTGACTAGTAATTTGGCTTGCCAAAATATACAATCAAAGGATCATATGTTTATATCATATCATCATCATCATTATCATATTATTGTTTAAGAAACTTCAAAGAGAGTGAAAGGGCCTATCAATCGGCGCCCTCGGGGAATAGAAAACCAAAACGTCGCCGTCTCCTGGCAACGTAAACCTCACGCTCTTCCCATTCTTCTTCCCTTCCCGCCGGCAGCTCTGGCTCCCCGCCGGCCGCCCGACACCCGACCCGTCACCCAAATTGCCCCGGCTGCTGCTCCCGCTGAAGTAATCGTCCTTCGATTCCCTGTCCAGCTTCACCAGCGTCTCCAGCGTAAAGCTGTTGTTCTCCTTCCCCTTCCCCTTCCTCCGCCTCCCGCCGCTGCGGCCGGCGGCGGACGACGATGAAGACGGGTGGATCCGTTTGGGAGAAGGTTTCCGAACTCCGCACCCGGTTGGACCGGATGACGGGTCGGGTAGTTTCCAGGACCGACCGGTCGATGCCGGTCGGACCAGACCCATGGGCAGGGGAGACGTCGACGAGAGGTGCTCCTCCAGCGTCAACGGCGTGCCGGGGGATGGCCGTGGTTTTCTCCGGCGGCCGTTGACGGCGGCTGGGCTTCGGGATGATGGTGGTGGGGGGTTGCTCCGCTTCTTCTTCTTGTTGGGGAAGAAGCAGTCGGGTTTGAGCCATTCTATTAAGGATTTGGCGGGGCCCATTTTTCGCCGGCGGCGGCGGAGGACGGCGGCGGCGGGAGGGGGTGGGTTTTTCCGGGTTGACGGCCGGCTGGATTCCGATCCCATGGGAAGGGGGAAAAGAGGTAGATAAAGAGAAGAATTTTCCTAGAGATGGGGAAAGAAAAGGGGTGATATATAAGAGGAGTGACGGAGATGGCAAGGCGGGAAGGATTAAATTTAATTGTGAATGTGATTGGGTTTGGGTTTGGATTATTAGTTAGGAGGCCGTCTATGCTTGGAGTATTAAACATCTGCTTAATTAGCTTGGGTGTGGATTCCATATATACTAGTGAAGTGAGGTTAATTAGTTTAGTGATGGCGATATCTATTAATCATAATTCGTAAACACTTTTAATCACCTTCCAATACCAACATCTTGTTCGTATAACGTTACAGGGGGGTCATTAGATGTTCGACAGTGCGCGGCTTTTGTTGTGCTACTTGTTAAGTTGGCCTTGGTCTCGCTGGTCGAGTATTTTGTACCACCTGTCACTATAAGGTTCCCTCGCCTGACTACACCTAGCTCCACCACTGCTTCGTCATGTTCTTCTAGTGATTGGTTTTGAGTTTTTTTTTTATTTTTTATCATTCATAGACCACGTCCGATCATAATACCAAAACCCTTTAAATTGCCAAAACGCCACACGTTTTCAATCATGATACGAATTGTCTCGCCAAACTTCAAGTCAACAGATTGATCGCGTCTCGACTCTCGACCGTCTCTCATCGCGTCTTACGGGGAAAATGCCAAAACAGTTTATTGTACTCCAAAGTGACTAACAAACCGAGACATGTCAAAAACTTATGTAATTGATATAAAAAAAAAAATGGTGCGTTGTGGGTCGGCCGGAGCCTTTTACCAACATGACTAACCGAGACATGTCCTACTACTCTAATTGGTGAATGCTGTGTTGTGGAGTCGCCGGCCGGAGCCATCATCACCACTATTGGACAAACTCTCGTTAAGACGAACATGTGGAAATTGGAATCCCTAGCAATCATCGACGGTCGATCGTTGTTCCTCGTCAAGTTTCGATGTTATTATTGTTATCTCACAAATCCGTTAATGTCAAGACGACGAAGGAGAGGGGGAGGGGATAGCAGCAGCAAGGACAGTAACGTGTGGAGACAGTTTGGTTGTAGACAAAAAGTGTGGTTCAAACTTCAAACGTTTTAGTTTTCCTTTGCAAAGGCGGGGGCATCCAAGCAACACTCCAATGTCTCTACCGTGTAACTATTTTGTCTATTTGCATCCATCTTCATCGTCACCACCTTTTGTTGAGGGTGGTACCACTAGGCGGTAGAGGAAACACACCAATGGACTGGTACATGTACCAGTGGAGTGATACGTGTGTACCAGTGGAGTGGTACGTGTACCAGTGGAGTTTGGAATACATCGTCATGAAAATATTGTGGTCTCCAATACTTTTGAAGTTTGGAATTGATTTTATTATTTTTCTTTTGTCGTAATTATTGGTTAACTTCTTTCAATGTCATTGAAATATCTTTGCTGACGAGTAATGAATAGAAATGGTCTTCGCACAACTTTGGCGGTAATCATACTACTTCAGTGGTACATATATACCACTGAACTTGTACTATAACACTAGACTGATATACATATCAATTAACTGGTACTTATACCACTATACTGGTACTTATACTACTGAACTGATACTAATTAAGACGGTCCTCAATATACCAATACTCATACTTACTTGATCATGAAATATAATTCTGGCACAAGCAACACAATAAACATTTAAATCAGTCAACAAAATAGGAACTTTCCATTAGTAGCCAAAAGTTGTGTTCCAAAATGGGTTGCAAAATCAGGGAAATGCCACAAGCAATGCCAAAAGCACTAAATTATCCTTCGAATGTGAATAAACATAAAGTCTTCACATTTTTTTTAAGCCTAAACAGGACATATGGTTACTAGTACCACTCCACTGGTACATGTACAACTCCACTGGTACACGTACCACTCCACTGGTATCACTCTACTGGTACACGTACCACTTCACTAGTACATGTACCAGTCCATTGGTGCGTTTCCTCTGCCGCCTATTGGTACCACCCTCACCTTCAGATTCTGTCGCCGCTTTCACCACTGTTCAAACTCTCCACTTTCACCACTGTTCAAACTCTCCACTTTCACTCCACTGGTACATGTATCACTCCACTGGTACATGTACCAGTCCATTGGTGTGTTTCCTCTGCCGCCTAGTGGTACCACCCTCACCTTCAGATTCTGTCGCCGCCACTTAGGGTTGATCGAATCTCTACCGTGGAAGGACGGTGGTCAACAGGAAAAGATCAAGCGCAGGCCGTGGATAAGAGGAAGTCGTTGGAAGGTGATGTTTGGGATGGAAGACGGAGGACGACAGACGGCCGACGACATGGATGGTTGGACCTGTTGTAAGAGCGGCGTAGATATTCCCTGCGTGTTTTCCTCCTCCGACGAGCAACCCACCTGGCGGGTCGGAGGCGATCCCACTGCGACGCTGCCCGATGTTTCCGATCGCGAAGGGTTGCGGGCGGGTTCTGAAGTCGATGGTTCGGGACGAAAGACAGACGACTTCCGACGGGAGGGATGGGCCGACCACTGTTTGTGAAGGAGATGATGGTTTACGCCGGGGGTAGTGATTTGATGAGTCGGCGGCAAAGGGTTGCTTGCGGGTTCTAAAGCCAGAGATATAGAAGGAAACTGAAACGGTGAAATTAAAAAAGGTAAGAGGGAATGAATAATTATGAGTGGAGGAACCCACTGTTTACTTCTTTCTCCCGTGCATAATTAATATGACAATTAATTCTTTCTCCATCCATATTTATTTGGGACAGCCATTAATACTTGTCTAATAATTAAGTATAAAACTTCCTATAAAAAAAATCTTATAAAAAAAAAATAATTAAGTATAAAACTGACCAATCAAAAGGAGGGTATCGAAAATCAAAAGGAGGGTAGTCACGCTAACCGAACCTAATTGCTTTGTATCAGTGAGTGGATCGAGATAACCCAACTCATGCCCAATGGGTTAAGTCGGTTACTCCAACAAAAGCCCATAGATGGTCCATGAAAAAACATCAAGGCCCAAGTGGTGAGCAAAATATCTCCATTGGAGGGGTTGGTTGGCTTGCTACTTTAAACTGTTGCTACTTTACACTTGTGCCTCTTGTCTCCCATAAACACTGTTTTCGGTACCCCAAAGCTTCAATCTCAAGTTCTCAACCAACCGTTCTTCCCTCTTCCTATACCTTCCAAAACCCAGACTCCCATATTCCGCCATTTCTCTCCACTCCAACAAAAGAAAACTGACCCTTGTTTTTTCTCCTGCTGTTTCGGAGCATTTTAACTACCCACCATCAGTTTCTTTTTTTTTTCCTCTCACTAGAATGCTCCGCTGTGGAATGATGGTGGCGGTTGTGGTGGCGGCGGCGAGCTTGTACGGATCCGCCGACGGGCAGATGCACCACGTGGTGGGAGGGGATCGGGGGTGGGAACTTGCTACCGACTTGGCGTCTTGGATCGACGGCCGGAGTTTCAGGGTCGGCGACAGAATCTGTGAGTCTCAAGTTTCTCACTTTCTCGTTTCTTCCTTCTTTACTTTTTTTTTTTTTTTTGTTCACGTTGCTTTTACTTTTTCTCAGTAACCAAAAAGTAGATGAGGTTAATGGCTGGTGTAAACTGTAAAGTCTTGTTTCCCTCTTTTTAATGAACCAGGTAGTTTCAACGCTAGGTTTTCATTTGGGATAAATACCAATTTGGTCATCCAACTTACCTATTATGGCGTGTGAATGACTTAAAGCAAACAACTTATAGAAATGCTAGAGGCAACTTGTGAGGAAGACTTTGTTTTGTTGTATGAAATTTGATTTCGGTACTTCCTAACAAAATCCCGATGGCATTATAAAAAAATTGAGGTCGGTATCTTGTACACATAAGCGAGTTCATTTCAATGACCAAGTGAGTAATTATGCTTTTGCATATTTAATTATCATGGCATGGCTATAATGATATTTATACTTTTGTTGTAAGATAAAAGAAAGTAATCATGATAGCTAGATACATCATCATATATATTTTGTTAGATTTTAATTTACAGGATGTATTCGAGAGTTAAATATATATGATACTAATGAGTGATCATTATAGGAAGCTTTGTGTTTATTATTGCTCGATTAAAATAGTAAACCCACTAATATTGCATGATTTCACGAACTAGCAATAATTCAAGCACTTTTTAAAATCAGAAGCCCTTTGATAATAGTGAGGAAAATGTCACACATACTTAGATATTTGCTTTCGATCTAGAATCTAGATATATAGTTAGAACTTAGAAGTATAACGGAACTCCCTCCATGACTTCACTTTCACAAAGAGGGAAAATGAAAAAGGTAACCAAAAGTTAGGTAGCATTTCCCCCCCCAACACCTACCACTCCTGCTTTGTATAGGTAGTAAAACGTGAATCATGTCCTTTTTATGTACGAATCTGAAATTCTCCCTCGAAACACCTATTTTTAGCTTCCCGATACTTAGAATGCATTAATTATAACATTTTAGCTTCCGATGGAAAATCATATCCAGTCACGAGGCTCTTTTGAGGATTTTTAAGCCGTGGAGCTGATTAATAATTATTACTAATTATCAATTTTTAATCTCCCAAAAATGAGCGCAGGGTTCGCCTACTCCGCAGCTGAGGGTGGAGTCTATGAGCTCGGGAGCAAGGAGGAATACTACGCGTGCGATCTCGCCAACCCGATCAAGATGTACACGGACGGTCTGAACAGCGTCCACCTCACCGGGGAAGGGATCCGCTACTTCGCCAGCGGCAACACCGACAGCTGCAAGAGCGGCCTCAAGTTACACGTGGACGTGCTTCCTCAAGAAGAAAGTGACCAAACTGTCCAATCGTCGACGGTTTCCGTCTCGTTTCTTGCTGCTGGGCCGACGACTCCTTCGGGATCGGGCCGTTTTGCTGGAAGCCTTCTCGTGGCGGTAGCCGGATTTGGGCTTTGTTTTATGGGCTTGTGAGTTGGGTGTTACCATTTATAGGCTTGTGTGTTTGGTGTGTGGTATAATAATGCCTAAAGTGCAACCACCATGAACTATTTGTATTTTGCTCTTCCGATTCACGGATATGGTAAATCCAAAGAGCATATGTATTTGAGAAATTGTTATTTGTAAGTGTGCCTTCTTAATAGTTAGTTATCATTAATTGAATAAAGAAATTTGTGTTAGCATGGGAATTGTGCTCCATTTCAATATTCGGGTTCGGGCCGGGAGCAAAAAGAATGGAGCAAATACTTTATCAAGGGTCGTTTGGATGGAGTATTTGTATGAGTTATTTGGGTTCAAATAACTCACAATGAGTTCTTTGGAAGCAAATAACTCGTTTGGCAGCGTTTTAGTGAAATGAGTTATTTGGACAGTGAGTTATTTACAAATAACTCAAAACGAGTTATTTGAAATAACTTATACTCATGTGTTATTTCGAAATAACTCGTTTTATCACTCTGCTTTTACCAAATACCACATGTCAAATATCACATTTGCATGGTTCAACCAAACGAGATACTTTATTTCAATTACCACTAAAATAACACTGGAATACCACATAAGCAATAAATGAGTTATTTGACTCTACAAATACCACATTGACAATAAACCCATCCAAACGACCCCTATCAGGAAATCCAAAGAAAGATGGACGAAGGGAGAAAGAAGCGTGACCATTTTGCTGACCGGCAGCTGGCAGGCGGGTCTACCCGACACACCACGGGACCCGTGATGAGTTCATCGGCTCACGTGGCATCTATCTAACCGTTGATTCCAACTAACTCCATTTCAATTATTTTTTCTCACTTCCTCTGCCTATTAACTTCTCTCCGTACTCCGTAGTGAACTCTTTGCTCTTCTCCGTCGCCGTCCGGCAAATCTCGCTGCTCTCAGTTCTGGTATGGCGGCGTTGAATTCGTTCGTCGAAGTTCATCCGGACTCTCATTTCCCCATCCAGAACCTCCCCTTCGGAGTCTTCAAGCACCGGCCGAGTTCACTCCCCCGGCCGGCGGTCGCCATCGGAGACTACGTATTGGATCTCTCGGAGATCGCTCTCGCCCGCCTCTTCGATGGCCCTCTCCTCAGTTCCTCCGATTGCTTCCTTCAGGTTTTTATGATTGCGTTCGCGCTCTACCGCATCGCTGATTCTTTAGTTGTTCTGTTGATTACCGTGGAAGAATGAAGAATCTGTTTCGAGAAATAGACTGGGCTGTGTGGCAGGGTGTTTGGTTGCTAGGAAAATAAAATTAGTTGAACTAGAAAGTAGCGCGCGTTGATTATCTTGCGGATTGTTTGTTTGGTTTACTGTGTGTCAGCTTAACTTGAACAAGTTCTTATCCTTGGGAAGGCCTGCTTGGAAGGAAGCTCGAGCTACGCTTCAGAAGCTATTATCATGTACAGTGGCCAACTTCAATTGATTTTGAAACCAGTTAACTCGATTGATTCTGTTTCTCTGAGCTACTCCTCATGGAGAATTTCGGCTGTCTTCTTGCATTGCAGCTACAGAACCCAAGTTGAGAGACAATGCCAGTTTAAGGGAGAAGTCACTCCTGCCAATGGTGAGATAACAAGAGCTATTGTGAATGAAATATAGCTTGATACTATGACATGGATGATTCTATTTCTTGTAACTCGAGTTTTGGATTCTGAACTTGTAGAATGAGGTGGAAATGCTTATGCCGATTGTGATAGGGGATTACTCGGATTTCTTCTCCTCGATGCATCATGCGAAGAATTGTGGAACCATATTTCGTGGACCTGAGAATCCAATTAATCTGAACTGGTATATACAATTTAGAGTTTTTTAAGATTTCTACTGAGTTCGGTACTCGTTCACGAGTTCAGTTCTGCATAGTAACTTTGTTCTCGTCTAGGTTCCATCTTCCGATTGCATACCATGGTCGAGCTTCGTCTATTGTTATCTCGGGAACAGATGTCATTCGGCCTAGGTAAGCTATCTTGGTTGCTTCATGTATCTTTCGTTTGTCTTCACCGTCAGACTTTGTTTGAACTCATCAGAAGCCAGCATGCATTTCCCAGAAAAGTTTAGCTATCCTCGTTGTGCATGCTCGAGCTTTTCTAGATAATAATCTCTTTCTTCTTTCCTCCTCAGAGGTCAGGGTCCACCAACTGGAAGTTCCCCACCATATTTTGGACCTTCACGGAAGCTCGATTTCGAACTAGAAATGGTTAGCATTTCAAGAAAGATCATTCTGCGGCTAACTCTTCAGTTGCTCACAACTTCCTCATCTTCCTTTCAGGCTGCTGTCGTAGGTACTGGAAATGAGCTAGGGAAGCCAGTGGACGTCGATGAAGCAGGAGATCATATATTCGGTCTCGTATTGATGAATGATTGGAGTGGTATAGATTCTTTTCATGGGTTATCCCTTTATCCCATGTTTATGCCTTATGTTGATCTATAAGCCAGAACAATTGTTTATCATGATCAGCTAGAGACATTCAAGCATGGGAGTATGTACCTCTCGGACCTTTCCTTGGGAAGAGCTTCAGTAAGATACTAACTTTATATTTCTTGCATTCCGAGATTCACCCGGAGGTGCATAGAGAGAGGTCTAACTCTCTTTTCGGTCTTATCCCTTTGCCTTTGATCTATAGGTACCACACTATCCCCGTGGATTGTAACACTTGATGCCCTAGAGCCTTTTACTTGTGATGCCCCTAAACAGGTAGTCCAATGACAATACAAGTTGCAGTATATTAAGCTGCTTCGCTTTCCTACATTTTTGCTTATTCTCATTGTGTTCTTATGATTGATAAAAATTGCAGGATCCTCCTCCTCTTCCCTATCTGGCTGAAAAGACATCCAAAAACTACAACATTTCCTTGGAGGTAGAACATAATGTGCATTCTAGTCGTTAACTAAGTTCTTCGGATTTTCGGAAGATAGTTTTGTTTGTATGAACTTTCTTATTCAGCTCCATTCACATATTGACGATGCTTATCTGTTCAAATTTTCAAGGTACAAATTAAACCTGCAGGAGTTGAGGAGTCAGCTGTGGTCACAAGAACAAACTTCAACCATTTGTATGGCTTTTCACTTCTATCAACTGACTTTCAATTACTTGTGTATAAATTTCTATCTTCCCAAACTGTATCAAAGTGCACGAGCTTCATACTCTTGCATCATATTCTGTTTTGATGTCTGATGAAACTGTTCTGTGACAGATACTGGACCGTGACTCAGCAGCTAGCTCACCATACAATAAATGGCTGCAACTTACGACCAGGCGACCTACTCGGAACAGGAACAATCAGTGGCCCGGTAACCATTTTCTTCTCATTCATTCTTCTACTGCTTTCAACTCCAGAAAAGACCAAAGGCAAGTAGATTCATTTCTGATCTATCTAAAAACCACCTCCCTAACAGGATCCAGAGTCCTACGGGTGCTTACTAGAACTGACATGGAACGGACAGAAACCATTGTCACTAAACAGCAACACGACGCGAAAGTTCCTCGAAGACGGGGACGAAGTCACGATAACCGGCTGCTGCAAGGTCTCTCTACTCTCCACTCTGCATATCTTTCCGCTCTGCATATCTTCTTTGTTCTCATCTCTTTTGGTCTGCAAACGTTTACTAGCTACTGTTCTGTGCAGGGAGATGGATACAATGTCGGGTTCGGGACATGTACCGGGAAAATTCTCCCGTCGAACTCAACTTGAAGGCTGTAAGCCCTGGTGAAATTCATCCTCAGTGCGAGAGATAGCTTCAGCATCTTTCTTCTGCGAGTATCAATATCGATTGCCAAATAAGAGTTTCGTCATGTTGTCTAGTGGCAGATTCAGTCATTGTACTCGTGTTACTATTGTATTGTAGTAAAGAATAGGAGTGAAACTGTGCCGTTTCACGCTTTGTTCACATGATTTCTCGTCATGGAGGATAAAGGTCTAACGGTTCTTGTCGGTCGCGGAACGGAATAATGTCTCGGTGGGTGTATGAGGTCAGCCCGCAAGGGTAACGGTGAAATCGGTCAGAGGAACGAGTGGATAATTACTGAAACGGTCATTCAATTTTCGGTAGCTGATTAATTGGTCCAAAAAGTTGAAGGACGAAAGAGTCCAAAGCAATTGTATCACCACCGTAGTCCATAGGCCCCGGCTATGATCTTTCCAGAAAGCTAATCCCATCCGCCCATTATAGCCTCAGTCCGGTTTGGTACTAGTTACTGTCCCTTTTCTAAGCTTCCGTCGCCATGAGAGGATTCCCAGAATTCTATCACTTCTCTTCTAGCACAAAAGGAATTGGCTACTACTGAAAAGATTTTCGGAGACCTAAAGTCACCAAAACCTACTTCTTATAAAGAGTATGGAGATTTTGATCGGTAGTCCACTTGGAGACATCCGATAAAATTGGAACGATACAAATAAGATATAAATGTAGCTCTTTCTCTACCAACAATATATCAGTTTGATATCCTCCTTTGTCCAACAGTATATATTATCTGTTTAATTATTCTTTAATCGACAATACATAGGTTTAGTTTTTGTTTGATTTTACTTGTAGAAAGTCCAAATCGAGGTCTTAAATCACTGAAACTACTATTAGAAAACTCACTTGAATCATCCTAACATAGCTACTATTAGTCTAGTAGTACTAAATCAAAGATACCAGAAAAGTTAGCGGTATTATATTTTATGCATAAACTATAGTTTAACCAGAGGTCACCGTTTCATTTTCGGAAAAATCGTCCGAAATCTCTGATGGTACCCCTTTGGAATCTGCCAAAAATGGACCCGAAAGAAATCCGCCCAAATCGGTGCTTGATGGACTTAATAATCGTTGAAGAATAGCCTCAGTTCGAATCCCTCATATTTAGCCTTCAAAATACAAGAAAAATGGCCTCTCGAAAAAATTACCCAAAAAATTAAGAATAATGCCATCCCAAAATAAATTCGCTCAATTCGGTGCTTAATTGACGTAATCATCGGCGCAGAATAGGATCAATAGACTTCTATATCGGTGCAGAATAGCCTCGGGCTGAATCCATGATCTGTAGTCTCCAAAATCGAAAGAAAATGACACTTCAGAAAAATCGCCAGAAATCTGTGATGGTACCCCTTTGGAATCTGCCAAAAATGGACCCGGAAGAAATCCGCCCAAATCGGTGCTTGATGGGATTAATCATCGTTGAAGAATATCCTCAGGCCGAATCCGCCATTTTTAGCCTTCAAAATCAAAGGAAATCGGCCTTTCGAAAAAAATTGCCCAACAAATTACGAAAATATCATTCCAAAATAAATTGGCCCAATTCGGTGCATAATTGACTTAATCATCAGCGGAAAATAGGATCAATAGACTTTACTATCGGTGGAGAATAGCCTTGGGCTGAATTCGTGATCTATAGCCTCCAAAATCGAAAGAAAATGACATTTCGGAAAAATCCCCCGAAATCTATGATGGTACCCCTTTGGAATCTGCCAAAAATGGACCCGGAAGAAATCCTCCCAAATCGGTGCTTGATGGACTTAATCATCGTTGAAGAATAGCCTCAGGCCGAATTCGCCATTTTTAGCCTTCAAAATCCAAGGGAATTGGTCTTTCGAAAAAAATTGCACAACAAATTACGAAAATGTCATTCAAAATAAATTGGCCCAATTCGGTGCGTAATTAACTTAATCATCGGCGCAGAATAGGATCAATAGACTTCACTATCGGTGGAGAATAGCCTTGGGCTGAATTCGTGATCTGTAGCCTCCAAAATCGAAAGAAAATGACATTTCGGAAAAATCGCCCGAAATCTGTGATGATACCCCTTTGGAATCTGCCAAAAATGGACCAGGAAGAAATCCGCCCAAATCGGTGCTTGATGGATTTAATCATCGTTGAAGAATAGCCTCAGGCCGAATCCGCCATTTTTAGCCTTCAAAATCCAAGGGAATTGGCCTTTCGAAAAAAAATTGCCCAACAAATTACGAAAATGTCATTCCAAAATAAATTGGCCTATTTCGGTGCTTATTTGACTTAATCATCGGCGCAGAATAGGATAAATAGACTTCACTATCGGTGGAGAATAGCCTTAGGCTGAATTCGTGATCTGTAGCCTCCAAAATCGAAAGAAAATGACATTTCAGAAAAATCGCCCGAAATCTGTTATGGTACCCCTTTGGAATCTGTCAAAAATGGTCCCGGAAGAAATCCGCCCAAATCGGTGCTTGATGGACTTAATCATCGTTGAAAAATAGTCTCAGTCCGAATCCGCCATTTTTAGCCTTCAACATCCAATGGAATTGGCCTTTCGAAAAAAATTGCCCAACAAATTACGAAAATGTCATTCCAAAATAAATTGGCCCAATTCGGTGCTTAATTGACTTAATCATCAGCGCAGAATAGGATCAATGGACTTCACTATCGGTGGAGAATAGCCTTCGGCTGAATTCGTGATCTGTAGCCTCCAAAATCGAAAGAAAATGACATTTCGGAAAAATCTCCCGAAATCTGTGATGGTACCCCTTTCGAATCTGCCAAAAATGGACCCGGAAGAAATCCGCCCAAATCGGTTCTTGATGGACTTAATCATTGTTGAAGAATAGCCTCAGTCCGAATCCGCCATTTTTAGCCTTCAAAATCCAAGAGGATTGGCCTTTCGAAAAAAATTGCCCAAAAGATTACGAAAATGTCATTCTAAAATAAATTGGCCCAATTCGGTGCTTAATTGACTTAATCATCGGCGCAGAATGGGATCAATGGACTTCACTATCGGTGGAGAATAGCCTTGGGCTGAATTCGTGATCTGTCGCCTCCAAAATTGAAAGAAAATGACATTTTGGAAAAATCGCCCGAAATCTGTGATGGTATACCTTTGGAATCTGCCAAAAAAGGACCCAGAAGAAATCCGCCCAAATCGGTGTTTGATGGACTTAATCATCGTTGAAGAATAGCCTCTGGCCGAATCCGCCATTTTTAGCCTTCAAAATCCAAGGGAATTGGCCTTTCGAAAAAAATTGCTCAACAAATTACGAAAATGTCATTCCAAAATAAATTGGCCCAATTCGGTGCTTAATTGACTTAATCATCGGCGCAGAATAGGATCAATAGACTTCACTATCGGTGGAGAATAGCCTTGGGCTGAATTCGTGATCAGTAGCCTCCAAAATCGAAAGAAAATGACATTTCGGAAAAATCGCCCGAAATCTGTGATGGTACCCGGAAGAAATGGACCCGAAAGAAATCCGCCCAAATCTGTGCTTGATGGACTTAATCATCGTTAAAGAATAGCCTCAGGCCGAATCCGCCATTTTTAGCTTTCAAAATCCAAGGGAATTGGCCTTTCGAAAATAATTGCCCAAAAAATTACGAAAATGTCATTCCAAAATAAATTGGTCCAATTCGGTGCTTAATTCTCTTAATCATCGGCACAGAATAGGATAAATAAACTTCATTATCGGTGGAGAATAGCCTTGCACTGAATTCGTGATATGTAGCCTCCAAAATTGAAAGAAAATGGCATTTCGGAAAAATCGCCCGAAATCTGTGATGGTACCACTTTGGAATCTGCCAAAAATGGACCCGGAAGAAATCTTCCCAAATCGATGCTTGATGGACTTAATCATCGTTGAAGAATAGCCTTAGGCCGAATCCGCCATTTTTAGCATTCAAAATCCAAGGAAAATGGCCTTTCGATAAAAATTACCCAACATTTTACGATAATGTCATCCCAAAATAAATTGGGCCAATTCGGTGCTTAATTCTCTTAATCATCGGCACAGAATAGGATCAATAGACTTCATTATCAGTGGAGAATAGCCTTGGGCTGAATTCGTGATATGTAGCCTCCAAAATCGAATGAAAATGACATTTCGGAAAAATCGCCCGAAATCTGTGATGGTACCCCTTTGGAATCTGCCAAAAATGGACCCGGAAGAAATCCTCCCAAATCGGTGCTTGATGGACTTAATCATCGTTGAATATTAGTCTCAGGCCGAATCCGTCATTTTTAGCCTTCAAAATCCTAGGAAAATGGTCTTTCGATCAAAATTACCCAACAAATTACGATAATGTCAATCCCAAAATAAATTGGGCCAATTCGGTGCTTAATTCTCTAAATCATCGTCACAGAATAGGATCAATAAACTTCATTATCGGTGGATAATAGCCTTGGGCTGAATTCGTGATATGTAGCCTCCAAAATCGAAAGAAAATGGCATTTCGGAAAAATCGCCTGAAATCTGTGATGGTACCCCTTTGGAATATGTCAAAAAAGGACCCAGAAGAAATCCGCCCAAATCGGTGTTTGATGGACTTAATCATCGTTGAAGAATAGCCTCTGGCCGAATCCGCCATTTTTAGCCTTCAAAATCCAAGGGAATTGGCCTTTCGAAAAAAATTGCTCAACAAATTACGAAAATGTCATTCCAAAATAAATTGGCCCAATTCGGTGCTTAATTGACTTAATCATCGGCGCAGAATAGGATCAATAGACTTCACTATCGGTGGAGAATAGCCTTGGGCTGAATTCGTGATCAGTAGCCTCCAAAATCGAAAGAAAATGACATTTCGGAAAAATCGCCCGAAATCTGTGATGGTACCCGGAAGAAATTGACCCGAAAGAAATCCGCCCAAATCTGTGCTTGATGGACTTAATCATCGTTAAAGAATAGCCTCAGGCCGAATCCGCCATTTTTAGCTTTCAAAATCCAAGGGAATTGGCCTTTCGAAAATAATTGCCCAAAAAATTACGAAAATGTCATTCCAAAATAAATTGGTCCAATTCGGTGCTTAATTGACTTAATCATCGGCGCAGAATAGGATCAATGGACTTCACTATCGGTGGAGAATAGCCTTGGGCTGAATTCGTGATCTGTAGCCTCCAAAATCGAAAGAAAATGACATTTCGAAAAAATCGCCCGAAATCTGTGATGGTACCCCTTTGGAATCTGCCAAAAATGGACCCGGAAGAAATCCGCCCAAATCGGTGCTTGATGGACTTAATCATCGTTGAAGAATAGCCTCAGGCCGAATCCGCCATTTTTAGCCTTCAAAATCCAAGGAAAATGGCCTTTCGATAAAAATTACCCTACAAATTACGATAATGTCATCCCAAAATAAATTGGGCCAATTCGGTGTTTAATTCTCTTAATCATCGGCGCAGAATAGGATAAATAGACTTCATTATCGGTGGAGAATAGCATTGGGCTGAATTCGTGATATGTAGCCTCCAAAATAGAAAGAAAATGGCATTTCGGAAAAATCGCCTGAAATCTGTGATGGTACCCCTTTGGAATCTGCCAAAAATGGACCCGGAAGAAATCCGCCCAAATCAGTGCTTGATGGACTTAATCATCGTTGAAAAATAGCCTCAGGCCGAATCCCCC